AAGTAGAACACGTGTTATACGAATGTAAACAAACTTTAATTTTCACTCATTGACATATGCAAAGTGAAACTGTAAGTCCAAGCTATAATTTTGGAATTATAGACATCCAAGTCTATTGTTGGCAGCATTTTTTTCTCTACCTTAGGTAGAGAAATGAACTGAACTGATGTCAGTTCATTCTGTGATAGCATACATACATACATCAGATACTTGTATTTGGCCTTTTTTCACTGACTTTGATTTTGGTTGGTAGTTAGTAAATTGCAGTATGACTCAAATCATGTTTTTTCTTCCCTGACTTGGATTCTCAGAGAAAGAGTTAATATAAAGTCATTACAACACTTTTTACCCCTAAACGCCACATGCAGAAATGTCTTCGTGTGAAACTTTTCCAGGACCCACTCAAAAGTTACAAATGGAAAAATACTTAAGTGGGTGTACTTCCCACCCACCTTTCTTGTAGCTCAGTTCTCTAAGGAACACTGACATTATTTACAAATGTTATGAGCTATCAAGAGGATACAAAAATGCTGAGTTTCTTAGAGGCATCTTTGTTACACAGAAGGCTGGGAAGATCAAAAGCCAAAGACAAAGTAATTTTTTGAATATTACTAAGGCATTAGAGAAATGTAATTGTGTAGTCTAATTTTAAGAGTTATAAATGTCCAATAATTGCTGCTTTGAAAAGGCAGGAGAAAGGAAAAAAAATTTGGAATGTTTAAAGAATCTTCTTCAGGGGTGACAGTTGTGGCACAGTCTGCAACGCTGGCATCCCACATCATACCTCCAATTCAAGTCCCAGCTGCTTTGCTTCCAATCTAGATCCCTGCTAATGTGCCTGGGAAAGCAGCAGATGATGGCCCAAGTGCTAGGGTCCCGGTGACCCATGTGGGGGACCCAGACGGAGTTTCTGGTTTCTGGCTCCAGCCTGACCAGACCTGACTGTTGTGGCCATTTGGGAAGTGACCCAGCAGATGGAAGATCCCTCCCTCTCTGTCCTTCCTTCTCTGTCACTCTGCCTTTCAAAAAAAGACAAATCTTTAAAAATAAATAAAATAAAATAAAATAAAAGAGCCACATGCCCCAAGACAAGTAATGCTTAGATAGCTCATGAGAATGAAAAGTGAAGGGAAGAGATCAATTCTTGGCAGACCACCAGAGGGAAGTTGGGAGGGTCTAGGTGCGTGTGCACATGGCACTCTTTGCCCATGGTCTGGGGACTTTCCTGCAGGTGGAAAGGTCAGAGACAAGTCCCATTGTGTAGCCTAGGGAACAGGCCTGCAGCACCAACCACAGGGATCAGTTCTTGAAGCTGAAGTGATGATGGTCTTTGTTTTCCAGAAACTGGGTGCGAATATTGCCCACTCTTGGTGGCAATGCCAAATTTTTACTTCTGGAAGCATCTTAGGTATAATCCTGAGCATGTGTTTATTTGAGTATCCTTGGAGCACTGATACCAAGTAGGCAGACTAAGGCACTTGTCACATGCACAGAACGCACTCCATGTCTAAGTCAGCCAGACCCACACTCTTAGCCTAACTTTACTATAGCTCTTTTTTTTTTTCTAAGAACCACCTTAGCTATGGGGAACAAGGAATACCTTTTGATAGGCTGCATGTATCCAAAGGCAGGAATCCAGATGTGCAACCAAAATGCCCCCATCTGCTCAGGCCCCTGTCATACTCTGTGCCACCAGAAAGGCAGACCCAGCCACCTGCCTCCCAGCTGCACAGCTGCGCCGTGGACAGCCACGTGGAGTTGTATCTCATGGATCCTATTTGCAATCATTGTATAGGCTTTTATTTCTTGAAAATCCCTCACTACTCAACAGACTTTGAAACACATGCCAGATTCTCATATGCCAAATTAGTAACCTTCCTTCCCCAGATGCCAAGTTCAGAAGGTGTTTAGGAGGAGAATTAAAGTAGTTTGACTTGAAAAGTAGGAGGAGTCAGCTCTTCACAGAAAACTAACATGAGTAGACAGATCCACTCATATTCCAACTGAAGCATTATTTTTCTCTGTTCTGCTGAGTATTTGACCACATGCAAACTGGAAAACCACTAGAAATCTTGTTAGGATACTTTAGAAGTCAGTTTTTTTAAGGTCCACTCACTTCACTACAAGATTACAGGGAGCATGATGAGTGCCAAGTGTTGTGCTTTGTGCTGGCAATAAGACAAATTACTTTAGGAAAGTCAAGGTCAAATGAACAAGATTGGAAATCAATTATGATAGGGGCCAGCACGGTGGCGTCATGGATAAAGCTGCCTCCTGCAGTGCCGGCATCCCATTTGGGCGCCAGTTCGAGTCTTGGCTGCTCCACTTCTGATTCCACCTCCTTGCTAATGCACCTGGGAAAGCAGTGGAAGAAGGTCCAAGTCTTTGGGCCCCTGCATCCACATGGGAGACCCAGAGGAAGCGCCAGGCTCCTGGCTTCAGATCAGCCCTGTTCCAGTCATTGTGGCCATTTGAGGAGTGAACCAGCAATAGAAGACCTCTCTCTTTTTCTGCCTCTCTGTAACTCAGCATTTCAAATAAATGAATAAATCTTTAAAAAATCAACTATGATAATACACAGTGACACATGTATTGCTAAGTATATATACAAAGACAATTCACATGAAGGCAGTGTGGAAGGCTACAGAAAGGACATGGCATTAGAGTGGAGTCTTGTAAGATACAGCAAAGTGGAACACTTGGAAAAGAGACATATTACAGAAAGGAGTGGTGTGAATACAGGCCCTGGACCACACACAGGTGTGAAAGGTGTGCACAGCACACACTGGCTGAGTCAGCCTTGGGCAAACATGAAGATGTGCCTTTGAAGAGTGAGGCACCATATTCCCCAGCTTCATGTGGGTACTGCGAACAGCAGTCAGATGTGGTCCCAGCTTTGCAGGGCTCACCTGTGCCGGTGAGGATCTACACCTGCATCCAGGTTCAACTCCTATCCTGGGTTGGAGCATCCCCCACAGAAGGAAACTCAAGCCCTGCAGGACAGGGATTTACAAGGAGAAGAACAGGAAGCCAAGGAAGCCCTGGGCACAATCTCCAAGTCAGCACACTGTGGCACGGTTGGCCCTTCCTGGTCCCTTTCATTGGCTTCCCTGGGGGTTCCTTCTGTCCTCTCACCTGCTTCTCAGCAGCCTCCCTCGCCCACACACAAGATCACCTGCAGCACTCCAAACCCCACAGCCAGCTTTACCCCAGATCATTTTCCCAGAAACGACCCTGATTCCAAACCTGTGCTCTTTCCCCCCAAATCATTGAAGTCAGTAGTTCCCAGTAAAGTGAGAGGGATTAACATTCTCTAAAATTGTCCTGGATACTCATGGTTGATTTCCTTTAATTGCACTGTTTAAATCAATTATATGGGGTGTTTCTGGCAGTTTGGAGGGGATGCTCTAGACTGGGGACTTGTTCGAGTACTCCTTAAACTCAACAACCAGAACACAGGCTGCACCACCCATGAGGAAAGCTGGCCTTGGGAACCATGGGAGGAAGAGCCCTTCCTGGGTTTGGGCTTTCTGACTCCCTGTCTCTCCTGCCACAAGAGGAGACAGCCTCTGCTGTTCTGCTGTCTCTTGATTCTCTTCCCCTGGTTTGTGATGAGCTGTCAGGGGCTCATGTGTCTCCATGAAGGGTGAGCAAGGCCTGTTTAAAAAGAGCAGAGAAGTGGGCTGCCCAGAAGCAAGACAAATGTGTCTTGGGTACCCAGGGCTTCCCAGACTAGTTCCCAAACACTGGAACCAGCACCTCCAGCCTAGGGCTGCTGGTGCCCAGCTACATCAATCAAAGGAGCCTCCAAGCCCTCCTTCACCCCCACCCACTTTGCTCAGTCTGCTTGCTCCTTCCTACAGGTGATAAGGCATTCCATAGATGTCCTGGGGGATTCGGCACAGATTCTAGCATCTCCTCTCCTAGCCTCAGCTCCTACCCAATTTCTTGCTTCCTGTAGATTTTCCATCAGGACTCCGAAGGAGGCCTTGGACCCACAGGGCTTTGTCAGTGGTGTGCTGAATCCTGTGTCTTCTTCTGGGACACAGTCCCGAAAAAGCCATCTCTGGCTCAAATCCCACTGGAGCTGGGCCTCCCCTGGGTGCAGAGTTTATCTCCTGGGAGCTACAGCACCAGAACCCCCTCAAAGCCTCGGGTTAGATATGACTGAGGAGGTCCACACCCTGGCTGGCTGTCCCTGTGCAATTGCCTTGGGAGCCATCCCTCCTGCAGCCTCACCACCAGCGTCTTGCCAAACTGGAAGAAGCTCTGTGTTTCTCCAGTTTCGGGGAAAAGAGACAAACGTAATCCCACAGGGTGACGGGAATCTTATCAGCCGAAGAGAACTCAAGGAAACCTCAGCTGTTTTGCAGGCTCATTTGTTTATTTTCTGTGCGGTCACCCTGATAGCCCCCACTGGGCTCACTCCCCTTCCCCTGTAAACAACTGGCTCTAATTAAACTTTTTCTGTTGGAGAAAGGTATATAACCTTGGAGAGTGCATAAAAAATAGCCTCACTCAGAAGACTTCAAAAAGTGCGCAGTCCCTTGGTCAGGCCCTCAACAAGGTTAATTTATGTCGTCGCTATCTTCCTCTGAAGGACTCTGGTTACTTCACATCTGTTCTCTGTCTAATCTTTGTATGAACATTGTGGTGGTCTTGGCAGCTCCACGCATCTAGTGGTCTCTTAACTGTTTCCTGCCCAAAGCGTCCAGGCTCTCAGATTTGATTTTCTCTCTCCCCCTGTGCCCTCATAAAAGCTTTCAATTTCCTCTTAGGTGGTGTCCTGGCTGATTCATGCTCTTGGACTCCAGCATGGTGGGGGGACCGTCCTGCTTCCCAGATGCAGAGACTTCAAGTGGAACCTGGGAATTCCTGCAGGAAGATTATTCTTTCCCTTCCAAACTGGAGAGAAGAGATGGCACTGCAGTGGGGTGGGTGTGATGCACAGAAACGGGTACAGCAGACAACATGCTTTTCAGTATGAGCGGTAGCTAGAATTTTAGAGAATTAAACAGAATAAAGCTCTCACAGTGTGTTATATTACGAAGGGCACTCTTTTGTAAAACGTCTATTGAAATGTGTGTGTGTATGTGTGTGCATGTGTGTCACTTGGTCATAATTTAAAATGATGTTCTTTCCAAGGAGCAGTCAAAATAGTTTGAAACCATTGTTCTGGCACATTTGGAGCTGAATATGCAGCTCTACTCTATGTGGTTTTCTGTTCTTCCCAAAGGACATGTTCTAAGGCCCCAGTGAATGCCTGAAACTGTGGATACTACTCTATAGACCATATTTTTCCTATACATATGTCCCATGACAAAGTATAATTAGTAAACTGGTGATAATCAGATATTAATTATAATAATAAAATAGAACATTTACAACAATATACTATAATACATTATTTAAGTCATTTTATTTATTTCTGGAATTTTCCACCTAATAATTTTGAACCAAGGCCAACCCTAGATAATTGAAACCATAGAAAATAAAACCACACGTGAGGGGAGATCACTGTCCCATTTCTCACCAGTGTGACTGTGAGCGAATCCATTAGCTTCTCTGAGTTCCTGTTTTCTCATCTGGGATAATAGGGATAATATGTGCCTGCCCTCAGCACATAATGCTGTTGAGAGGACGCCAAGATGCTAATGTGTGTGTCAACTTGATATGAAAGCTCTGCATCAATCTAAAGCTCTTCCAGACCAGAGGTTTCTGCAGAGCATCCTCAAGTAGGGTACTTGGGTTCAAACTTCATTCTAAACCCTCATACATGGCTTCGTTTCTTCAACAATATTTATAAGATACCTTCTATGTCACGGGGACTGTTTTTAAATTTATTTATTTATTAAAAGATAGAGTGAAAGAAAGACAGAGATTTTCCATCTGCTTGTTCGCTCCCCAGATGGTCACAACAGCCAGGTCTGGGCCAGATGGAAGCCATGAGCCAGGAATTCCATCCTTATCTCCTATGTGGGTAGTAGAAGCCCAAGTACTTGACCATCATCCACTGCTTTCCCAAACACATTAGCTGGGAGCTGGATAGGAAGTAGAGCAGCTGGGATTTAAACCTGGTTGCTCAGATGTGGGATGCCAGCATTGCAGACAGTGGCTCAATCCACTGTGCCACAATGCAGATCCCATCAGGGACTATTTTAGTGGCTGGGAATAAACAAAGTTCTTGCCTTCTTGTTATTTGCATTCTAGTGGAGGGAATAAAACAATATATATGTATAAATTATATATATGTACATACAGTGTGTGAAATGATGTTTAGTTCTATAGGGAGTCCTCAGCATAGTCTAGCGCATCTGTTAGCAATTTATCTATGATCCCATGTAGTTTTTCTTTTTTACTTTTAAGCAAGATCTGGTGGCTGAAGATCTTAGAAAATCACTGTATGGTTGTGCTACTTTGGAGTCACGTGCTATGTAAGGTACCCAAAGATTGTTTTGGCAAAGGACACCCTTGGAATGTTCTCCTCTTAAGAGTTTTCTAGGACAATCAATCTTGGTCATCTCTCACTTATGTCATCATCAGTTTTAATAAAAATAAGCTCTAAACTAACAGGAAGGGCTTCTTGTCTAGAAGGGAAGTAAACATGTGGAATTTATTACCTGAATTAGTTGTAAAAGCCAAAATATAAACAATTTCAAGGCAGGTTTAGAGAAATAGTATATGGATAATCGATGTATAATGGCACTAACAATTTTTCAGAGACGTCACACAAGCTGTGACGGGTACCGAGACACTGTGGGTGCTCTTTGCCCCTATGTGTCGTGTCTCCCTATTCATTGTCCTAACGCTCCAGAGCTGGTGCATTAAGACTGAAGACACAGGCCTCAAGCTTTGGTGATGAAGCTGAGCAGCAAAATCTGAATCTGCAAACCACACGAGCGATCTGAGACCACTTTAAGCAGTAGGTCAGCCCATGGACGAGAGATGAGAAACCCGCTCATCCCAGCCTCTAGACAAACAAGTCAGCTGACATTTCTAAGGCCCACTGTCCCCTTTGTAAGTCCCATTAGTCTCAGTAGACTTTGAGGCCCCACTCAGCATTAGAACAACAAAAATAGAGAAAACTTTGATACTAAATTTTGTCATGAAATCTTTACTTTATTTGGGTAGAAACCAGCAGGAAACTGTCACGATGGTTTATGACTGAATAATGCCCCTGTGAATTAACTGTGATCTTAGGTCTGACCTTCAGTCTTACACACTCAGAGAGTTGAATTTGTCAGTGCACTGAAAGTGAAACTGCATCTCAAAGGCAGTTTGCATTAACAAAACTAACAAGAATTTATATGTAAAAGAGAATTATGAATTTTATTACAAATGCAAAGATAGATTTATTCATTCTACAGTCTGGAACAAGGTCAGCAAACTACAGCTTGTGGGGCAGCTTTGCATGATGCCTATTTGTGTAAAGAATTTTACTGGAGCACAGCCATGCCCATTGGTTTATCTGCTGTCTGTGACTTTTTTAATTCGAATTTGTTTATGAGAGAAGCAGAGAAACAGAATGAGAGAGAGAGAGAGAGAGAGAGAGAGAGAGAGTGTGTTCCCATCTCCTAGATCGCTCCTTTGATGCATGTAAGGGCTGGAACTGGGCAAAGCTGGAGCCAGGAGTCAGGAACTTCATCACAGACTCCCACATGAGTGGCAGGGACCCAACTACTTGAGCCATCACCAGGTACCTTGTAGGTTGTGCACTGGTGGGAAGCTGAATTGGGAGTGGAGTGAGGACTGTAGCCTGACACTCTAATACAAAATGTGGGCACCTTAACCTGATGTTTCAACAGTTAAGCCAAAGCTTGCCCCTCTCCTTGAAGGAGTAAATTAAACTAGAGTGGGAAGTTTGCTCGGTGAACCTAGGAGCAGAATGGGTGGCCTACTGAGTGTTACATCAGGGAGTAGTTCTTAGTTAAGAAGGCATAAGATATGGTTGTCTATCACAGGAAGCGACTTGCCAGGGGAGCCATAATCCTAAAATCCACTGGACACATTCATTTCTTTTTCCTATGGGCTGTACTTGACCATTTACTGCCAATATTTGCTTAGCCCTTGTGTTTTGTTATTATGCCTCTGTTGCCAAAAAAAAATCCCCATCAGAACAATACTTCCTTTCTGTGGCATGAACAAAATTGGTCACACTTCCTTCTCCCCTAGAGCCTACCAGAACACTGGGACACATCTGTATGAAATACAGATATAACTCTGAAGCCATGAGTGGTTCTCTTAGATGGTCACAAAGTGTGGCTACTCTCTGCATCACAACAAGTCTCCAAAAATCAGTTAGGGATCTCATCAATGTTATGTTTTAAAATCATCTTTCTCCCTTCATAAAATTGCACCTTGCATCTTTGATCTTTTCTTCACTACACAAGCACACTACCTTTCTCATGGGGAATTTTATCTTTCTGGTATCATCATGCCTTTTAGCTTCTCTTAACTCCTTCTATGTGCTTACAAAGATTTCATGGACAATGAAAGAAGAAAAGGGAAGGGAAGGGAGGGCAGGGGCAGGGGAGAGGGAGGGGAGGGAAGTGGAAGGGAAGGGAGAGGAAAGGAAGTGGAGTAGGAGGAAAGAGGGGAGGGAAGGGCAAGGAGGAGGAAGGGGAGGGGAAAGGAAGGGGGGCTTCTCTATCATATTTCAGTGAGTCATTTGTTGTCTGTTTGAATTTCTACATATCCAAAAGATATGTAGAAATTCTAACCACCAATACTGAAGAATATGATCTTATTTCAAAATAGAGTTGTTAAAAATTTAATTAAGATCAGGTCATTCTGCAGTAGAGAGAAGACAGCCATGTAATGAGAAATGTCAGACAAAGCCATGTGACAATGAAGGCAGAGACTGGAGGGAGGCAGCTGCAAGCAAGGTAATGCCAAAGGTTTCCAGAAAGTACTAGAGGCTAGGTAGAGGCAAAGGAGGATTTCCTTATCTATTTATTTATATATATATATGTATATATATATACATATATATAACTTCTTATCTATTTCTGAGTAAACATATCCCTGCTGTCATCTTTTTTGGTGGGAGTGGTTTATTAAGACATAATTGAAAGGTTAAAATTTAATTTATTTATGATATGCAGTGTCATGTTTCTATGTGTGTGTGTGAATGAGTGTGTGTGTGTGTGTATATACACTAAGAAATGATTAGGTCAACTAATATAACCATCAACTCACAAACTTACTATTTTTGTGGTGAGAATAATTAAAATCTGCTCAACGATTTTACATTATATAAGTCATTATTATTAACTATAGTCACAACACTGTGCCAAAGATCTGCAGAGCTTAGTCATCCTAACTGAAAATTTAATGAGGTATCCTCCACCAACTCCATTTCCCTGCCCTCCAGCCCCTGGAAATCACCATACTACTCTCTACTTCTGTGAATTCAACTTTTTTAAGTTCTTCATTTATGTGATAACATGTGGTATTTGTCTTTTCATGCCTAGCTTATTTTACTTCCCAAAATATCCCCCAAGTTCATCCATATTGTCACAAATGACAGGATTTGCTTGTTCTCTTAAGGCCGAATGCTCTTCAATTGTAATGTGTTTACCATAATTTCTTTATTCATTCTTCTGTTGATGGAAACTTAGATTGATTCCATTTCTTGGCTTGTGAATAAAACTGCAACAAATATGGGAGTATAGATATCTCTTTGATACACTGATTTCATTCCCTTAGGATATAAACCTAGACATAGGGTAATTCTCTTTTGTATTTTTTGAGGAAACTCTGTACTATTTTCCATAGTAGCTGTACTAATTTACATTCCCACCACCAGGGTACAAGAGTTCCCTTCTCCCCACATCCTCATCAACCTTGTTATCTTTTGTCTTTTTCATAACAACCATGTTAACAGGGGTGAGGTGATATCTGTGTTTTTCATTTGAATTGCCAAGAGGTTGAACACTTTTTCACATACTTGTTGGCCATTGTAGGTCTTCCATCAAGAAATATCTGTTCAAGTCCTTTACCTATTTTTCAATCAACTTGTTTGTTTTCTTGATATTGAGCTATTTGAGTTTCAAATATATTTTAGATATTAACCTCTTATCCAAGTGTGTGGTTTGCATATATTTTATCTCATACTACAGTCTCTTCATTTTGTTAATTATTTCTTCTACTGATTATTTTTGTTAGGTACAAGCTTAATAAAAAATGTTTTAAAAAAATCTTTTTTGGATTTTTGTCTGTGTTTGGAGACTGTATCCAGTACTCCATTTGACCAGACCAATGTCAAGAAGTTTTTCCTCTAGGTCTTAAATTCCAGCCTTTACTCCATTTTAAGTTATTTTCATATGTGGTATGGGATAAGCACCCATTTTCACTCCTCTGCACATGTATATCAGTTTGCATAGCAACATTTATTGGAGAAACTATCCTCTGGCCTTTGTGTGTTCTTTGAAATTTTGTCACCAATTAACCATAAATGTATGGGTTTATTTTTTCAGCTTTATATTCTATTTCTTTGATCCATGGGCCTGTTTTTGTATCATTACCACACTATTTTGATTAATATGGCTTGGTAGTACATTTTAAGATGAGATGGTATAACAACTCCAAATTTGTTCTTTCTTATCAAGATTAATTTGGCTTTTTAGGGTCTTCTGTGATTCAATTCAAATTATAGGATTTTTTTTCTTTTTCTGTGAAAAATGTCATTGGAATTTGGATAATAATTGCATTGAATTTTGAGATTAATTTGGGAAGCATGGACATTAATAATGTCAATTCTTCTGTGTAGGAATACAGATGCCCTTCTGTTTGTTCATGTCTTCCTCAAGTTCTTTCATTAACGTTTTATACTTTTCAGTATGAAGATCTTTTGCCTTCTTTGATAAATGTATTCCTATATTAGACCTTTTGATGTTACTGTAAAAGGATTGCCTTATTGATTTCTTTATTTATAGTTCATTAGTGTGTAAAAACACACTGACTTTCATATGTGAAACATTTCCAAATTGTTTTATCAGTTCTAAGAGAGGTTTCTGTTGTTCTTTTCTTTTCTTTTTTTTTTTTTTGATGAACTCTTTACAGTTTTCTATATGTAAGATCATATTATCTGCAAAAAGACCAATTCATTCCTTCCTTTTCAGAGGCCTTTTGTTTTTTTATTTTGCCTAATTTCTCTGGCTAGGACTTGCAGTCATATGTTGAAGAGAACTTTTAAGAGTATGTATCCTTTCTTTTCAATTTTTTTTATCATTGAGCATGATGTTGGCTGTGAACTTGTGATATGTGGCCTTTATAGTCTTGTGATATAGTCCTTCTATGCAGAATTTATTGAACTATTGTTTTTTATGCTACATTGAGATAATTGCATGGTTTTCTTCCTTCATTCTGTTAATGAATGTTATCAATTGGTATATTTTGAACCATCTGTACTCCCTAGAAATTAATCCCATTTGATTATAGTGGATGGCATTTTTAATGCACTATTATAGTTGGGTTATAAGTATTTTATTGAGGAATCTTGCATTAATGTTCATCAGGGATATTGGCTTGAACTTTTTTTTTTTTAACATCTTTGTGTGACTTTGACTGCAGGATAATGCTGGCCTAATAAAATGCATTTGTAAATATCTCTCCTTTTTACAATTTTTGGAAGAATTTGAGAAGGATTAGTGATAGTTCTTATTTAAATGTTTGATAGGACTCAAGTGCAAAGCTATCAGGAATTTGGGTTTCATAAGAGATTTTTTAAAATTACCATTTTAATCTTATTCACTAGTAGTCTTTTTAGATTTTCTATATTGTCATGATTCAATCTTGTCAGGTTATGTTTCTAGGAATTCATTTTTACTTAGTTATCAATTAGTTGATGTACAATTGGTCACAGTAGTCTCTTATGATCCTTCATATATCTGTGGTACTGGTTGTAATGTCTCCTGCTTCACTTGTAACTTTATTCACTTGAGTCTTTGTCTCTTGTTTTAACCAGCTTAGCTTTAAGAACTTGTCTATTTTGGTAATCTCAGTGGTGAAAGATGCCAGTGGCTCTGCCAAAGAACCCATGGGGACCACTGTAGCTTCCCCTGTGTGGCTGACACTGATAGAAAATAACCACATAATGTTTTTTGTTATTCTCCATTGTTTGCTCCACTGTGTCATTATAGATTCTTGATTGGACACTTGAGCTCTCCTAGTCTACTTTTGTTCCTGGATAGCTGTTTATTTATTTTCTATAGAGAGAGGGATATTGGCATCTACTTCTCCACCATCTTGCTGACATCACCTACTCCTTGTTGTCATCTTGACTTTATGTGTCTGGTCCCCAGAACTGTGAGGTAACAAATTCCTGTAATTTTAAATCGCTGAGCTTGTGGCACTGGGTTATAGCAGCCCAAGCAAACTGAAACATAAATATATTGAGTCACATCTTGTGCTTTAGTGCTAGATTTTGTGCAATTTTAATCTATTTCAGTGCCTTGGTTTTATAGCTGAACACTCCTGAGGGAAATTTATTTCTCTTTTTCTAATTTTTAGGAGCTCCTTGTGTTTGACCCCACTTCCTACACCTGGGAAGGAAGATATTTTTCTATAACAAATATTTATTTCTTGTCTACAATAAATATTTTAGAAAAGTTTTACACAAAATACTCTGTCTTGTACTAGAACACATTCATTTAAAAGTGTGTGCAGTACCTTTCCTTAGACATTTCTAACACAAGCAGAGTTCTCTCTTCCATGCACATGCAGTGGGTTAAGAAACTAAAGCCTTACTCCCCAAAGTTCCACTTTGCTCTGCCTGTGATTTCCTGTACTCCCCAGTAACTTCATTGTCTGGAACTAGCCCCTGCTCCTCCCTTACATCAGATTCCAGGTAGGTCAACATCCTTTCAGAAACAAAGCAACTCATACAGGCTTTGGCTCAGTCACTGGTAAATAACAGTGATGATGATGACAGGAGTCTTTGGCTTTTTGAGCCATAAACTTAGCTCAAGAATGTTGATTCATGGCTGGATACAGAATACTGTGTGAACGTTGATTAGCAGGTGGTCCCATCAGGTGGACGAATTGCTTACACTTTTTCCATAGTTATTCACAGTTCATTTTCCCTTCAGAATTTTTAGGTAAGAGTTTGGAGCTCTTGCATGTTTGGGTTTTAGATTTTGGAAGCAATGCAATGGAATTTTCTGGCAATCTCTGTTGAGTGATTTACGTGCTGCTCCCTTTGGGTGATTTGTTTTACGCTGTGTGACAGGACTGGTGCTGGACTTCTGCTTGAGAAACTTTTGCTTCAAATTGGTACACGTGGGCCCTTATGGAGTCTGCAACTTTACATGCAGATGAAAAAAGCTTTTTCCCCAAGAGACAGCTCCACTACATTCTAATTCTGAGTGAAGGAATTCTGAGCTCCTTTCTCTCCTTTTTTTCCACTGGGAAGACTTAGGAAGCAGCAAAATGTAGGAATACTGATTTTAAGATTAGTAGAGAAAATTCCAGCTGAAATAACTTGGAAATATGCTGGAAATTTGTTTTAGGGATATGTGGAGAAAACATAATTAAAACAAGAATCACCGTGGTCTTCAATAAGGAGTAACACAGCAAATTCTGCTAACGCATCTGGTTAGTCCTCATCTCTTTGATAATAGTAGATGACTAGGTGGCTCTTCTGGTTATGAGAATGAAGCTTGTTCTTGTTAAGCAGAAAGAAGAACTGAAAGCAAAGCATCACCAAATCACCTTGAAGGAAGCAGTATTGAAGCATCAGCTGTCTTGGAATAACTCCCATCATGGGTATCCTCTACAATAGTGACAAACTACCTAGATTCACAAAACATGATAGAAGTCACAGTGTGTTGGAATTTTAGGTTTGGAAGGTGGCACACCACTTTGCAGTTGAGGCCATTAAATGTAGCAGCACTGTAAGAGTAGACCATAACATAGTCACAATCTTTCTCTATTAATTGGGAACTCTGCAAGGTGCAGGATAATACAGTTCACATCTAGAAGCATGGATTTTCACAGAAACCCTGGATTTACACAGATGAAATGTGTGCTTTGAAGTGGTGCTTGGTGTCTTGGGAGAGACAAACGTACCCAGATTCACCCTTATAGAGGCAAAGATAAATCTGGGAACACTTGTGGGCATTTTGAAATAATTAAGGTCTATGCAGCAGATACATGGCACATTGAAAAGAGTTTCTGTGTTGTTGTTTATTTGAGAGAGAGAGAGTGAGACAACAGAAAGAGGGTGCCCATTAACTCATTCACATCTCAAATATCTGAAATGGCTGGGGCTGGGCCAGAGATGGAGCCAGAAACTGACAATTTCAATCATTATCTCCCACGTGGGTAGCACCACTACTGCCTCTCAGTGTCTGCATTAGCAGGAAGCTGGAGTCATATCAAACCTAGGTGCTATGATATGGGATGCAGGCATCTTACCTATTAGGCTAAATCCCCACTCCCACTTTGAGGAGCTTAACCATGGAGGGTTCAATGAAGACACATGGTTAAGAGAGTCAGCGAGGGATGTTGAAGTGCTGAGAGATTAGCAACAGCAGGAGCCTGTTACCCTTCCGGAGCCTGAAGGGACACAAGGTGGAAGGGAGCACTGCTGGAGCCCGGAGGGTAGGAAGGAAGATGAGCCCCGGGCAAGTCCTGTTGTGGTAGATGAAGGAACCACTGCAGAACTGCTGTGAGGCATGAAAGCTGGGTCCCTCCTCTTCCCAACCTCCTTTAGCCCTGACTCAACAGAAGCACCTGGCAGAGGTTCCCTGGTGATCTTGTCTGTACAAGGCAGCCTCTTTAGGTACAGAAGAACGGAAAACAAATTTGAGGTTGGGGGGAGGTAAACATAAAATAATTTGTGGCACAGGCACTTAAAAATTAAAGGAGCCTCTCCCTTGTATAAAGTTGAAATCACAGGTTACCTTGAGTTGAATCACTCCTGTTCTGCTTAGGGTCGCTGGGATGATTGATCTTCCCTTTTCCAGTGCATCTTCTCACCCTTCTAACTGTATTAATGTAGGGTAGATAGGGATTCCTTGCTGGGGGAATGGGAGAATAATAAGGAAGAGTATTGTTGCAAGAAATATATTAAAATAAACCTTGGGGGTGAAACTGTGGTTACTGGGAGAAGAACACACATATTTACAAAAATGACTGAATATCTTTTGAAGTTGGGTGGACAGGAGGTCCAGGGGCAGGTGACAAAGGCTGAAATCAAATGCTTCCTGGAGTTTCCCTTGGGAAAGTTGATTTTGCACCATGGTTGGTTAACAGACAAGTGCTCTTCAAAAGTTTCAAGGAAAAAAATGTATGGATTTCAAATTATTCTGCAGCAAAATAAACTTCTCTTCTAATTTCATTTTCCATAAACTTTTTAAAGTCCCCTCATAGAAGACTTTTTAAGTCCAGCCACTCAGAGTCAGCAATATGTGCCTGAGTAACAATGACTGGGTGAGGGAAAGAGTTGTGACCTTGACATATCACACAGTCACCGCTATTGACTGGTCCGAGACCCAGACCAGCAAAGATATCCTAGATGCAGTATCCATCAAATCGCCATGACCTGAAACTAGTGGCCAGAAACAACAACTTGAGCTGACCAGAATCTCTTTTTTTTTTCCTCCTCTTCACATGCACCATAGGTTATAGAGGCAACCTATAGTCCCAGCTTTAAGTAGCCTACGCCTCAGACAGGGAGCCAGGACTTACACAGAGATGAAATCAAGAAGATAAACAAAAGTGGTAGCACATGCCAGAGGATTTCAGGGGCTGCAGGGATTGCTGTGGACATTCACAGAAGGATCTCGGAGGCTGAGATGGGCACTGAGCCCAACAAGATGATGGCTTGTTTGGGGGAAGCAGGGGAGAACACTAGGACAAAGCCAGATTCTAAGCCAAGGTTCCCTAGGCATGCTGGGAAGATGATAACACCTCAGGCTGAAGAAGAGTGCACCAAGCTTGACTGAGCAGAGAAGTGATTAATGCAGTGTTTAAAGAAGAGCTTTATGGTCATGGCGTACCAGCGGGATTGCACTGGGCAAAACTGGAGGTAAGGAGATGAGCTATGAAACTATGCTGGCTAGGAAATAGTTCAGGCCTGAGTGATAAAGACTCAGACTAGAGTTGCAGTGATGGAAATGGAAGGATGGGCTGGCCCAAGGGACTGTAGTAAGGAATGGCCTTGGTGACTACTCCATTGCAGAGGGACGGTTGAGGAATGGAGGCACCAGTGGTGAACATCAGGTTTGCCACTTTAGTGATGCCAAAGATGATGGTGTTATCAAGAGATGTAGCAAACTAGTTGGATGGAGGCTAATAATTTAGTAAAAATAAACATGATGCATCTAAGGCTTCATTAGATTGTTTGGGAAGACATTCAGTGGAGATGTTCTTCTGCAGATGATTTCCTCACCTGGAAAAGGTTGATTTATTTGAAAGTCAGAGTTACAAAGAGAGGAGAAGCAGGGAGAGCAAGCGACGTCTTCCATCCACTGGTTCACTCCCCAATTGGCCGCAGTGGCTGGAGCTGCACCAATCCAAAGCCAGGAGCCAGGAGCTTCTTCCTGGTCTCCCATGCAGGTGCAGGGGCCCAAGCACTTGGGCCATCTTCTATTGCTTTCCTAGGCCACAGCAGAGAGCTGGATTGGAAGTGGAGCATCTGGGTCTCAAACCAGTGCCCTTATGGGATGCCGGCGCTTCAGGCCAGGGCATTAACCTGCTGTGCCACAGTGCCGGCCCCAAAGGATTGAGAGTTTATTAAAAGCCACTAGGGTCCACTGCTTTCTCACACTCAAACCTAAGGATCATCCCCATCAATTCTTTCTGCATTAGTCTCCAAATTCTGTTCATTTCACTTTCATTCTCTCTCACATCTGCCAACTTTCCCCAATGCCACACTCTTTACCTTGGAGTAGACCACCACCATCTTTTTTTTTTTTTTTTGACAGGCAGAGTGGACAGCGAGAGAGAGAGACAGAGAGGTCTTCCTTTGCCGTTGGTTCACCCTCCAATGGCCGCTGCAGCCGGTGCACTGCGGCCGGCATACCGCACTGATTCGATGGCAGGAGCCAGGTGCTTATCCTGGTCTCCCATGGTGTGCAGGGCCCAAGTACTTGGGCCATCCTCCACTGCACTCCCTGGTCACAGCAGAGAGCTGGCCTGGAAGAGGGGCAACCGGGACAGAATCCGGCGCCCGGACCGGGACTAGAACCCGGTGTGCCAGCGCCGCAAGGCGGAGGATTAGCCTAGTGAGCCGCGGTGCTGGCAGACCACCACCATCTTTCATCAGAATCACCAATTGTGTACAAATGATGCCCTCATCTTCTTTACTCATCTTCCACAAAGAAGCCAGGATCTCTTTCTGAATTAAACTCTGACCTTGCCATCTGCCCATGACATACCCTTGGTGGTTCTCTCAGGTTCAAACCTTAGCAGTCCTTTCACACTGCATCATTCTTCACATTTAATATAAAAATATCTCTCCTCCAAGGAATCTTTACTGATGTGTTTTCTTTACTGATGTGTTTTCTTTACTGGTGTTACTTTTGTGTTTTCTTTTCTTTTTTTAAACACTTATTTTATTTGAAAGACAGTAAGAGAGAGAGAGAAAGAGAGAGAGAGAGAACTCCCATCCAGTGTTTCACTCCCCAAATGGCTATAACAGCCATGGCTGGGCCAGGCCAAAGCCAGGAGCCTAGAATTCCATCCAGGTCTCCAAGGGGTGTGGCAGAGGCCCCCCGGCACTTGGGTCATCTTGTACTGCTTTCCTAAGAGCATTAGTAGGGAGCTGTATCAGAGGCAGAGCAACTAGGACTTGAACCTGTGCTCCAATATGGGATGCCAGCATTGCAGGTAGCGGCTTAACCAGCTGTACCACAGCACTGACCTCTCTTGTTTTCTGAACACTTCATAGTCCTATCACTGTATAGAATGACTTTGTTATTTATCTAACTCCTACTCCAAAACTGTTTCTAACTACTAAAAAAAGTATTTGTTTAATGAATGAATAAATGAAATAAATAGGAATGTGGTTTTGCTGATATTTAAATCAATTTGAGAAGGTGGCATTGGATACTCTTTGACATGCCCTGTGCTGGGGGTTAGAAGTGTAATCATGAATATTACATAGATTGCCCACAAACAAGCAATCTAGTATTATGGAGTCGATAAATCAGGTAGTATGTCACGTAGTGAAAGGGTTCAGTAATATTAGGAGTCAGAAGGAGCACAATGGGAAAAACCTTTACTTAAAACTAAGGCTGAAGTTCAATTTATTCTCCAGTTTTTATAGGACTTTGAACCCAGTGTATTCATCTATAATGAGGATATAAATCCTCCTTCCAATCTTATTTTTATTAAATAACAGCCCTTTGGCATCATACAGTAGATGTTCAATGAATAATATTTTCTCCTGTTTATATGTATTGCCATGTATTGGCACTTTCACTTGTTTGGGGCTTCCATCTTCAGACACATCTCGTTAAAATAGAACTGCGGGCGAGGAGCAGGGATAGGGTAGACTTAACTCACAAACAGAAGCTCAGATCTCTCTAGAGATTTTGTTAAGAGGGAAGGAGATGAGAGAAGTGCCCAAAATTGCGCCAGAGAGATTGAGACTGCTCCTCCAGTGTGCAGTGGACCTGCACAGGGGGCAGAACTGGAATCTGTTTGGCGTGTTTGCCTGAGGCTGACATTGGCCTAACAATCTGGAAATTACTAACTGTTAAAGTCCACAAGAGCGCTGCAGTCACAGCTAATTCAGTTTCTTCACAACCCTAATGCATTTTCTCCTTCCTTCCAGACAGCTCAGAAGGACCTAATTGAGACTGACCCTGCTAGGATTTGGATATGGTTTGGTGTCTCCCAGGGATCTTAGGTGGACATATTAATCCCCATTGTAAAGTACTAACACAGTGGACACTTAATTTGATGGTGGTGTCTAGATATGGGGCCTTTGTGATGTGATTTAGATTAGATAAGGTCTGCATGACTGAATACTGGTGGTGATGTAAGAAGAGAGACCAAAAGATACCCCACCCCCATTTCTGGCCACGTGATGCCCTGCACTGCCTTGGGACACTGCTAGCAAGAAGGCCATCATGAGATCTGAATCCTCAACATCCAGCATCAGGCTTTCTGTTGAAATAATGAAAATTGGGCTAACACAGACTGTATAAGAAACAACAATAGAACAAGGATAAAATTCAGCCTTAATTCTCCCCAGCTATACAAGAGGGCTTCAAGAAGTACATGGAAAACACACTTTATGGGCACTGACCGTTGGCACAGGAGGTGACTCAACACTTAGAATGCCCACATCCCATGTCCAGATTTGAGTCCTGGCTATTCCACTTCAGATCCAGCTTCCTGCTAACATGAACCCTGGAAGGCTGTGACAACTTTAGTACTTGGGTCCCACAAGGGGGACCTGGATTAAGTTCTGGGCTCCTGGCTTTGGCCTGGCTTAACTGTGGCTGTTGCAAGCTTTGGTAGTAAACCAGCAGTTGAGAGATCTCTCTTCATCTGTCTGTCTTCTCTCTCTCTCTCTCTCTTTTTTTTTTTTTTTTTTTAGAGTTAGACAGTGAGAGAGAGAGAGAGAGTCAGAGAGAAAGGTCTTCCCTCTGCCGGTTCTCCCCCAAATGGCCTCCACGGCCGGAGCTCTGCCGATCCGAAGCCAGGAACCAGGTGCCCCCTCCTGGTCTCCCACGCGGGTACAGGCGCCCAAGCACTTGGGCCATCTTCCACTGCCCTCCTGGGTCACAGCAGAGAGCTGGACTGGAAAAGGAGCAACTGGGACTAGAACCCAGAGCCCATATGGGATGCCGGCACCGCAGGCGGAGGATTAACCAAGTGAGCCACGGCGCCAGCCCCTGTCTTCTCTCTTTTAAATAAAAAATGAAAATAAGTGAATAATATAAAAGAGAAGAACATTATGAAAAAATATGCATGGGTTTCAAATTTTTATACCAAAATAAACTTATCCTTTTAATTCCATTTCCATGAACTTTAAAAAAATCCTTATATTTATTCCATTAGCTAGTTTTATGCCTTCTAATGATTAACAGTTTGAGATCTCTGTGGAATTTCTTATGAAATTGAAACACAAACAGACAATAAACCCTAATAGACAACTCTTCAAAATTTTCACTTAGAAAGATATCTTTTGAAGTCTAACTTGAACCAGTGGAAAACTTCAGCTGACAACTCCCTAGGCAGAAAGAATCATTCTTTGCCCCTTCCCAGTGTCTCTGTCTTAAGCCTTCTCTTGTCTGTAACTGGTTCGTTTCTGAACTCTGAGGGACGTAAGGCATGATCAATTCTGACTCTAAAACCCCAGCTTGGCCTAGCATTGCCGAGCAGGCAGATCCAGGGCAGGCCTGCCTGAACTTGACATTTGTGTCAGGCTAACTCAGATAGGAGAAATCCTTTGTGGGTTTCTTACTATTCATTATCTTCAGAGGAAATATTCTCTGATCTGGAACAGAGATCGTTGAAAGTGTGTAAAGACGAGGCTCATGGCCTGGTTCATTAAGAGGTCAGATTGGCTTACACGCAAAAAAGCAATGTTCCCTCATGGCTCATGAAACCAGAAGAAACCTGACTCAAAAAAAAAAAAAAAAAAAGTCAAACATGTGGATTAAACCAGAACTCTAGACTACCCCAATATTCAGAGACCTGATGGAAGGATCTTCAGTTTTCATTCCAGAGTTGATCTACTAAAGACATTCAGAGTCTCAAATAGTCAGATCTCCTTTCTGACTGTTTTATAAATGAACTTTAAGCCAAAACAGCTAATAAGCAGGTATTCTTGACATCTTCATAGAATCCTTTTATTATATCCAACAAAAACACAGTAAAGGACTTTGAGTGAAAGGTCTTTGAGACGCCATTTAACCCCAAGTGTCTCAACTTCTGTGTCACATCTCATGAGTGCGTTCAACCATCTCCTTGTCTTCTCAAGGATTCCCTTTTATCTCTCATTCTCCATTAGTCTCACTTCTTATCTCTACCTTCTTCAGTGGTTGCAAGGATCATTCTCCTTCATCCTACAATAATAAGAAAATTTACAGCATTCATCAAGTGAAAACCAGAGTGCTGGACTTGCTATTGTAGTAAAGACTTTGACTTATCATAAAGGTTTCCAGTGGAACACTTAGTATATTTTAAGGATTCTAGAAAAGATACATTTTCATCTTCACTCATTCTTCCTGAATACTCTTCTTACGATTTTAAGCCTTGTATCTGTTTTTGTTCTCCATCTTTTCTTGATCAGTGTATATTCTACTGAGTTGGCGACGATTCTCCTTGTGTTGAGTTTTTCTCTTTTTCCCTTCCAGTGTATTTCTCTGATTGTCTCTTACTAATTACTCATAGTATGTATTGCTCACAGAGCACAAAGAACTCACCATGTTACCTGATAGATTCAGATGTGTGCATATGCACAAGACTAGACAGTTTTTAAGTTCATTTAACTGGCAGTCAGCTACGAGTTTCTTCTGCTTCTCTAGAAACCTTGGCAGTATCATCTGCAGATCCTCCAAATATACTTTCTGTCCAGAGGGCAATTGGCTGGAATTAAATATGTTATGGTTCCATTTAACACAATTTCAGATACCCGTGCTTTAGCTCAGAAATACCATCTGCCCTTCAGTGGGGAGCAGAGGATAACAAAACCTCACTTCAATTACTGTAACCCTTCTCTGAGTACCAAGTACTGATGTTTTTTTTTAGGGTTTTTTTTATTATATTTTTATTTGAGAGGTAGAATTACAGACCGTGAGAGGGAGAGACAGAGTGAAGGGACTTCCTTCCATTGGTTCACTACCCAGATCGCCACAATGACCAGAGCTGTGCCGATCTGAAGCCAGGAGCCAGGAGCTTCTTCCTGGTCTCCCATGCAGGTGCAGGGGCCCAAGCACTTGGGCCATCTTCTATTGCTTTCCCAGGCCACAGCAGAGAGCTGGATTGGAAGAGGAGCAGCTGGGACTCGAACCAGTGACCATATGGGATGCTGGCGCCACAGGCAGAGGATTAACCTACTGTACCACGGTGCTGGCCCCCTGATGGTTTTTAAGAGTAGCAGAACTCAGACCCTGAGCAGATATCAGTCATTAGCTGGTCAAAATAATAGAACTGGGTATATAAATGAAATAGCAGAAAACTTTCTGGATACTGAATGTATCTTTTTGGAATCGTAGATAATTACTGTGGCTGGTTTTGGGATCACAGTAAATTATTGGGTCAGTTTAACTAATTGAAGCTTTAAATATTTTTCCTAGATTGAAGGAAATAATCTGGTTTGGCTAGCTCTTCATGTATCAGGTGACCTGAATGTGAGGGTGGGCAGGATACCCATGTAGCCATGAAGACCGATGTTGAATCAGATGCTGTGATAATAGTCCCTTTCTTTCTAATTAGCTCACCTTAAGGTGGCATGATTTACACGTGACCACAGATTGGTACTTACACTCCTTTTACAATTCTTCATTCTTGCCCTTCTGATCATTTAGTTAATAACCCAATTGCATCACTGCTTTCCTATATAGCTCTCAGTATAGAAGGTTGATCTGGGAGGAATGACACACTTACCACACACACATGTTGTCATTCTGATAGGCAGGTCTGGAGATTTTGCATTAGTTAAAGTGAACCTTCCTGCCCTTCTTTATTTTGTGAGTAGACCATCATCTGGAGTGACATGTAGGAGTATACATAAGAGGAAGGAAAGGAAAATAGACAAGGAATGGATTTCACAGTATTTGAGGCTTTTGAGGAAACTGATGCTATTTAGAAAGAAAATTTGACTCCAAATTCCAGAGATTAACTTGTAGAGATACAGCATTGGGCTACTCTTCATTTGTTTTTAAATCAACTTTATTGAGATATTGTTTGTGCATAATTTATTACTTCAAGGTACTATAAAATTTAGTGTATCTCCTCATGAAACCACTGCCACAATCAAGACAGGGAATATTTCACCCTCCAAAAATTCTTCCTGTCCCTTTTCTGTTCATTCCTGTCTTCCTCTACGCTTGATCCCAGGCAGCATGAAACTTCTTTGTCACAGCTTTTTGGCTCTGTGTAGGATTTTGTTATGCTCAACATAATGATTTTGGCATGAATTCAGTTTGCTGTGTATATTTCTTTTTTAATTGCTGAATTATATGCCATTGATGGATGCACACTCTTTGTTTGTCCATTGGTAAACATCTGGATTGCTTCCAACTGTGGGTTATTATACATAAAACTGTTGTAAATGCTTGTATTTAAGTGTTTGTGTGGACACATGTTTTTATTTCTTTTGTATAAATACTTTGGAGTAGAATGTCTTGGTCATATGTTTAACTTTTTAAGAAATTATCAGCCAGTTTTTTCAAAGTGACTGTACCATAATATGTTCCCACCAGTGATTAGGAGGGTTCCAGTTATTTGACATTCTTGCTAATACTTGGCATTATCCATCTTTGTAATTATAGTAATTCTGATGGATTTATAGTAGTAGATCTCTGTAGTTTTAATATTCCCAGATGAATAATTGTGGTTTATATATTTCATGACATTTAAATATGCTTATTAGGTATCTGTTAAAATCATTTTTTAATTTTTATTTTTATTCAGTTATTTGCCTGCTTACTATTGAAATGAAAGAATTTTATATAATCTTTTTATTAATTTTCAATTTTTAAATTTTTAAGGTGAACAAATATATAGTCTTAATGTAAGTTTTTTGTTGAATAAATACTTTGCAAACATTTTCTCCCAGTCTGTGGGTTGTCTTTTCATATACTTAACAGTGTCTTTCAGAAAGCAAAAATTTTTTATTATGGTAAGTCTAATTTATAGACAATTTCTTTTTTATAGTTCATGGGTTTTGTGTCATATTAAAAAAAAAACCTTTACATAACCCAATGTCAATAGAATTTTTCCATTGTTTTCTTCTAGAAGTTTTATAGCATTAGGCTTCAATTTAATTATATGATTATTTTGGGAATTTTTGTTTATGGTTAGGGGTTGATTGAAATCCTTCTTTCTTTTTCATAGGCTATCCAGTCATTCCATGCTATGGTTTGAATATGCTTTGTCTGCTCCAAAACTCATATTGAAGTTTAACCCCCTGTGTGAGGTATTAACAGGGTGGAAACTTAATCTGAATATTGCTTTTAGAGGTGGAGCCTTGTGGGGGGGAGTGATTAGGATTAGATAAAGTCATCAGGTGGAGACTGTCTAAGAATAGGGAGAAGCCAGAGGAGGTACGTGCACATGCTCCATAGGTCTCCCCATGTGATGCCCTCCGCTGCCTTGAGGCTCTGCTGGCAAGAAGACCATCCCCAGATGTGGCCCCTTAACCTTGGACCTTCGGAACTGTGATCCAGAATAGACCTCTTTTCTTTGAAACCCATCAAGTCTGTGGTATTGTGCTATGAGCAACAAAAAACGGACTGCCACATTCCAGGAATATTGAGTCTTCTTGTCACATTTGAAAAATGTCAACTGCTTATGTAAGTGTGAATCTTTCTGGACTCTATTCAACTTCATTGTTTCTTATGTCAGTCTTTCTGTTGATAGTATATTATCTTGATTACAGTAGATAGTGTAAGTTCTTCATTTTGTTTTTTTTTTAAAGAAAATATTTTGGGTATTTTGTAGACTTATGTTAAATTTTCAAATAAATTTCAGAAACAACTTGTCAATTTCAGTGAAAATAGCTGGCAGAATTTTGATTGGCTTTGCTATGAATCCATAGGTCAATTTGATAGAATAGACATTAACAATTAATCTTCCAGTGAACCTCTGAATTTCTAATGAATTATGTATTAGAATCTTCCAGTAAACCTGAGAGTATGTAATATCTCTCCATGTATATGAGTCCTAATTTCTTTCAGTTCGTTTTTTAGTTTTCAATGATGAATTTTTACATCTTTTGTTAAATATATTCTTAATTTAATTTTAGAAGGCCTTTCAAATAGAATTTTTTAAATTCAATTTTAATTGTTCATTGTTATTTTATAAAGATACAATTAATTTTTGAGCGCTAACTTTGTATTCTACAACACTGCTAAATGTCATATTGATACTAGTTGCATAGATTTCTTAGAATTTTTTGCATTTGCATTCATGCCATCTGCAACTGAAGTTCAATTTTCTTCTTTTTCTCCTTACTTGTTTTTCATGAGGTTTTTATTTCACATGTTTATTTTATTTTTCCTTGTTCTCATTTTATTGTTTTGATGTCAACTTTATGCTTGTTGCTTACACGTAATAATTCAACACTACATGAAAATCCTGTCCTGTGGAGGACAGGGAGAAGATATAAGCACAAGAGAAGTACAGGAGAAGGTGAGTGGCAATTGAAACTAAGACATTTGATTTAAACTATCTTAAAGGAACAGCATTACAGCCTTGAATATTCCCTGTATGTATTAGTCCTATTCAAAAACGCATTTCTCACAGGCTTTTTCACATCATCAAATGTACACAAAATATAGATACTTTTAAAAAACTTATTGTGATTTTTAAGGGCCTTTGTCCTTAGCTGGAGCTTAACAATGAATATATATAAAGATGGCCTGACACTCATGAGTCACTTGAAAGAATGAATGCTTTAGTATTTGTTCCCATCTTTTTTTTGAATTTTGGTAGCTGGTTCATTTATGATACTTTCTATCTTTATATCCCAATTTACAGTTCTATCAGCAAAATACATAATTTTCAAACATATGAATGTGCAATAAGTCATTTGTCTACCATAAAGCAATGAATTAAATACTCACTATGCCCAAGATACTGGGAAACAAAAAGTGAAAACCCACATAATTTGAAAGAGAATATTTGAGTAGTTTTTGATTATTTTTTTGTTATTTGGTTTTGCTTTTTTGGTTTTACTAGACTGATTTTCATCCTTAAAGTTCTATTTTTCATCTTTTTCTCCTAAAGATAACTAGAGTCCATTACTTTATTTTTTTCTGTTTTTTTTAGGGCTATCTTTCATTTTTTTAAATTAATTTATTTTTTAAGGAATACAAATTTCTTATGTACAACTTTAGGAATATAGTGATTCTTCTCACCATACCCACCTTCCCATACTCCCATCTCCCTTCCTCCTCCCTCTCCCCTTCCCAGTCCCATTTCTTCATTAAGCGTCAATTTCATTTAACTTTGTACAAAGAAGACCAACTCTATACTAAGAAAAGATTTCACCAATTTGCACACATGTACACACACACACACACAAACTGTTTGGGAACAAGTATCACAGTTAACTCTCATAATACAACTCATTGAGGACAGAAGTCCTGCAAGGGCAGTTAGTGCACAGTGACTCCTGTTGTTAATTGAACAATTAGCACTCTTATGTGTGACATCAGTGACTATGCAAGGCTCTTGACATGAACTTCCTAGACTCGGAAACCTTTTGAATCCACAAATTCCATCAGTATTTAGACAAGTCCTTTAGCAAAGTGAAAGTTCTTTCTTCCCTTTAGAGAAAAGTACATCCTTCTTTAACGGCCACTTCTCTCCATTGGGATATCAGTCACAGAGGTCCTTCATGTAGACTATTTTTTTTTTTTGCTTTCCATGCCTGAGTGCTCTAATGGGCTTTTCAACCAGACCAGGAAGACTTAAGGGCTGATTCTGAGGTCAGAGTGTTACTTAAAGTAATTGTCATTCTATGAGTCTGCTGTGTGGACGGCTTTCCATGCTGGACCATTCTCTCCTTTTTAATTCTATCTACTATAATTACCCCCTACTTGATCCTATTTATATGTTCATTTTAACACTTAATCCTATCTGTATGTTCACTTTAACACTTAATGTGATCACTTTAACACTTAAGATGACATTTTTGTAACTGTAAAGCTGTATAGTCCTGCATACATTCCTAAGGACTAATATCTAAGAGTACAGTTTAAAACCTTGTCATGGGACCCCAAATCACATTGAAATAGGTGCTAAAAATGTCATTTTATTCTTTTTATTCTCAGTCTTCCTCCAAATTCCATCCTTTTTCTCAAACAGCCACTATAAATGCAGGCATATCTCAGAGCCTTTTTTGAGGAGCTAGCATACAGTTCAAAACTCAAAGATTATGCCACTTTGTTCTACAATTCAAGTTTACTTCATTGGGTTAGAAAAGCTTAAACACTACTTATTTCCTTATTTCCATGGTACAAGAATCCTTAATTGTCTTCCCCTTCTTTCCTCTCAGGAAGTGATGAAGCCTTGTGAATTACAAGATCCACAACTGAGACAGCGGATCAGATACTGCTTAAACAGTAAGTACTCACGGATTTATTTTTCATTGTTCTATGATTTCACCCAAAGAAGGAAGAGAACTTTGACCATTCATCCTGAGAATAATTAATGATTGATTTGCTATGTTTGGAATGTATAATGGAGTGAATTCCAAAGAATGTGCCTAGTCTTGCCAGTAGACAAGAAAAAGTGCACAAATCTTTCTAAAAAGAAAATATCTGATTAGATATCTCACAAATGATCATGAATGCCGTTTTGGGTATAAAGCCAGCTCTGAAATTCAAACTTAAGCAGAAATTCTGTTTTAACAGATAGGCAAAGATACAACCTATGAAAAACTACCTTATCAAGTGTGTATTTGTTAAAAAAATCCACATATCTTCTGTTGCAGACATAGTCTTTGGCAATAATTCGCATTCTGTCTCTAATACTCATTAGATTATATGACCTTGAGTGAATTGATAGCCTATAAAATAACTCAAAAAATTATTTTCAAGATTAAATAAGTTCAACAATGTCAACCATTTAGCATTGTGTCTGGCATACCAAAGCTATTTATTAAATATTAGTTTTCTTTTCTATCCATATGTGGTGTTTTAAGTGTGTTTTGCTTGCCACTTGGAATTTTATATAAACTTTGGGAAAACACACTGGAATATTTGTGCTTTAGGAACATTGTTAAAGAATTTACTCCACTCACAGAGTGAAAACAAGTATACAACATTGTGTGAAAATCCAGGCCAAAGCTCTTCTGTAGGTCTTGAGGCTAGTTAAGTATTCTCTGCAGGCAATACATTGTCTTGCTTCACCTGATCAAAACAAGTGGATGTTAAAATACATGTGCAGAACACTTTCAGAATTTTGAGCCATTTTTTGGTGTCAAAAGAAATCTATTATCTCTATTACTTTCCTTCTAATTGTGTACTGAACAATGAAAATACATTTGGATGGAGTGCAACTGAGAGGAAGCCTCTATATGAAATGACAATTCTGCCAGCTCTTCTAAGATTTTCTTTAAAGATTTATCTATTTCAAAGGCAGAGGGATACAGAAAGGGGGAGAAACAGAGTCATCTTCCATTTAAGGCCAAAGCCAGGAGCCTGGAACTCCACCTCCCATGTGGTGTCAGGGATCCAGGTACTAGGTCATCATCTGCTGCTGTCCCAGAGAGCTGAATCAGAAACAGAGCAGCTGTGACTTGAACCAGTACTCAGATATTGTATGCTGGCATCACAGATGGTGGCTTAACCTGCGGTGTCATAACATTGGTCCCTCTTCTGCGATTTTTGTGAATATGCTAAGTTGGATTTTGTGCTGTATTTGTGGCATGAAAAACCAAGGCAAATAGTATAACAGAGAAAGGGATTCTTCATTTTTTTTTTTTTTTGGCTTGGCATAAAGGGAAATTAGAGTGTACTTCTAACAGTCTTATTACTCTAGCCAAATGATGATGTGGTTAGAAGACTGTTGAGACCAAAGTAGATGTGTCATTGTTTTTAGTGAGCCTTTAAGACCAAATGAACTTCCTTGAAAACTATAAATTATTTCCCTGAACTCTCAGACTGGCCCAAGAGCCAAGAACCCATCAAAGTGTTGACGTCATTCTAAAGGAAAAGATCATGCTGGAGATGATAGTGAGGCATGACACCCACTTGCCTACACAACATGTAGTATCAACCCTCTCCTTTATTACTCACAGAACCTGCTTCCAGGCAGAAGAGGAAAACAACTGCAGTATTCCAGCCTTCTTTTGGGCCAGGGCATGGACATATCACCCAGTTCTGGCTCACAATTTCTAAAGGAAGTCTCCTAGTATAGAAATCCTTAAGAAAGACACATACATTACAAAACTGCTCTTCTTTCTTTTCTCTGAGTATGTCTGGGTAAAGACATGGTATGTGGAGACACATCAGCCAACGTGGAACCCTGAGAGGAGAAAGCTGAAAGTGAAAGCCAACACACTGAAGGATGTCCCAGCAGAAAAGTGATGGGAATGCCTGAGTCCTTGATGACTTCATCTCAACTTCAACTAAATAAACAATAAATTTCTGTATGATTTGAGCTACAGGTGATCCTAAACTTAAGATGGGCTCACAAGAGATGTGCAGTTCGGGACATGCTCAAGCTGACTTACCTCAAACGGTGGAGTTAGAAACATACCAGGGGATTCGAATTCAATCCCATCGAGGTGGCATGTACCAATGCCATCTCACTAGTCCCAGTGATCAATTTCTGTTCACAATTGATTGTAATGATAGGACTAAGAACCAAAGGGATCACAGAAACAAGACTAGTGTCTGCAAATACTAGCTGATAGAATAAAAAAGGGAGAGAATGATCCAACATGGGAAGTGAGATACACAGCAGACCCATAGAATGGCAGATGTCCTAAACAGCACTCTGGCCTCAGAGTCAGCCCTTAAGGCATGCGGATCTGGCTGAAATGCCCATGAGAGTATTTCAGGCATGGAAAGCCAAGACACTCTGGGGGGGAAAAAAAAAAAACCTAAATGAAAGATCTCCGCGAGTGAGATCCCAGTGGAAAGAACGAGTCATCAAAGAAGGAGGTACCTTTCTCTGAAGGGAGGAGAGAACTTCCACTTTGACCATGGCCTTGTCTAAATATGATCAGAGTCAGTGAACCCAGGGGGCTTCCATAGCCTTGGCAGCTCATGACAAGAGCCTAGGGTGATTACTGATGCCATAAACAGGAGTGTCAATTTGTAAAGTCAACAACAGGAGTCACTGTGCACTTACTCCTCATGTAGGATCTTTGTCCTTAGTGTGCTGTACATTGAGATTTAATGCTATAACTAGTACTCAAACAGTATTTTTCACTTTATGTTTCTGTGTGGGAGCAAACTTGAAATCTTTACTTAATGTATGCTAAACTGATCTTCTATATATAAAGAGAATCGAAAATGAATCTTGATGTGAATGGAAGGGGAGAGGGAGTGGGAAAGGGGAGGGTTGCGGGTGGGAGGGACGTTATGGGGGGGAAGCCATTGTAATCCATAAGCTGTACTTTGGAAATTTATATTCATTAAATAAAAGTTAAAAATAAATAAATAAATTTCCTTACACCACATTCTTCTGGAAATGCTGAAAAGATTAATGGAATTCTTAAAATGAAGTAACAGAATTTTTGTTTTTATATTTCATTTGAAGGTCAACCTTATATTTTTATTATTTAAAATGTACCATTATATTCATTGAAGTATTATACTTTTAGTGATAATGTGAAAAAAATTTTTAAAGAGGAATTTTAGAATGTTTTCTGAAAAACACAACAATCAATAAGATATTATAACTGTAGTCAAAAAATAAATAAAAGAAGAATAAAGTGTGAGGGAAAAAAAAAAGATGGGCTCACATTCTTATGAACTTACAGTAATTTGAAAATGCATTTGATATACCTGGCCTGTTGAACATCACAGCTGAACAGCATGGTGTACTGTGGAGTCTCGGTGTTAACTTGTTTATTGCCAGGCTGGCTGGGAGCTGGGTCTGCACATTGGCCACATTGGCCACTGCTCCACATTGCGAGAAAGTATCGTAACACGTATCACCAGAGAAGAGAACAAAATTCAGAATTAAAAGTGTGCTTTCTACTAAATGTGTATCACTTTTGTATGATTGGGAAATTGAAAAAGTACAAGTCAAACAACATAATTCAGGGACCATCTGTATGTTAATTGAGGCATACTCTAGTTGCAGCCTAAAGCCTTCCAATTCATACAATAGTTATTGTTAGAAGATAAAAATGTGCCTCAATCAAGACTGGAAAAAAAGTAAATAAGACATTTCCGTGTGGTGTGATAGAAAACCACTGAACACATACCCCTACCACTTTTTACCTAAAATTAATTTACCTAAAATTCCTCTCGGTAGAGGCTTGACCATATTCATTCTTTCTATAATCAACTTTGCCTTCCTATTTTGTGTAAGGTTGCCAGATAAATATTTGGGATATATTCATACTAAAAATTTGCTCATTGTATTTTCTGAAATCCTCATTTAACAGGGCAGCCTGTGTTCTTTGCCAAGTTTGACAGCATCACCCGAGTGCTGTGTCCTCGGGTAGGGTCTGGGGATACCACCCCACTCTTTACTGCAATGAACTCATTCCTTCAAAGCCTCTAGGTGTTTCTTATGCGCACCCTGGCTGCAAATCCACTGCCCTTGGAACTGTCTGGTCAACTCCATATTACATAGCTCAGGAAACTTAAGCCCAAAGAGGCACAGAACAACTCAATTCTGCACACAGAATTCTATTGTACTCTTTCCAGAGCCTCTTCACCCTTACTCCTAACAGCTCTTTGTGCTAGGTTGAAAGGGGTGGCTAATATTGTCCGACTTGGTCAAAAGAAGGAGGCTTATCATAACAACTTCCTTTGATGAGAAAGATAATCATATTTAACACACCTATTTTGTGTGTGGCAAAAGAATATGTTGTACAAGAAGAGAAAGAATTGTCTTGAAAATCTTGTCTAAATCCATAAAAATACTTTCTTAAAAATAAAATATTTTCCAAATATTGTATATACACAAGGGAGTATTCAAAGGTTCATGGAATTGAGGTTATGCATATTATGAAAAAAATTATATGGATTTCAAATTTTTACAGCAAATACTTTTTAAAAAATTGTTTATTTTACTTATTTGAAAGGCACATGCACACACATACACATACATAGACAGTGATCTCCCACCCAGTGCTTCACTCCCCAAATGTCCCCAACAGCCAGGGCTGGCTAGACCTAATCCAGGAGCCTGGAACATAATCCAAGTCTCCCTTGTGAGTGGCTGGGGCCCAAGGACCTAGGCCCTTTCTGCTGCCTCCCAGGGTACACATTATCAGGAAGTTGCAATCAAGAGCAAAGCCAAGACTCACTCCCAAGTATTCTAAAATGGATAGAGGTACCCACTTCTACATTTGGCTTTTAATTTTATTTTCTCCCTAACTTTAAAAGATACCCTCAAATATTTCATATATGTGATATATAACTTATTACACATAACTCATCTAGGATATACAGCCTCAAATCTATAGCAATACTTGTTATAACTTACAAGTATCAATAAGGAGGATTGCTTTATTTCTCCTTAGGTGTCCTTTGCTAATCTTTTGATGAGTGAAAAATCTGCAACCTCTGTAAATAATGGGCTGTGCTTGAAATTTAAAAGCAGTGGTCCTGGAGATTAGCCTGGGAAGCAGTCAGAGTTTCTCCTGGAACTGGGCGTTATAGATTTAAAGCTTTCTGGGCAGGTATGTGTATCAGAGATATAGCTAGAAACTTTTCTCTTATACCTAATCCAAATCTCTCATGTTACAGTGTTAGTCCAAATCATGTGATTTCATCCCTGAAAATGACAGAGACTAGATTAAGTCAATTCTCCACACAGATGAATCTAACATAGATCTTGTGTTAGTCTTCTCGTGTTTCCTATAAGCTAAATCCAAGTATCATAAATGCAAATAAACAAGCAAATGTCACTTTAACAAGATCCCAAAACTTGTTCCTAGAAAATCAGACTTTGTTTTCGAAAATTACATGAAATTCAAAGATCAGTAGAATAGATTGAGATGATCTTTGCAATTCCTTATAATGGAATGTAACTCAAAAATCTTACTTCTTTAGATCCAGGTATCCTCAACTAGTACATCCACTTGTGATGTCCAGAGTCTTTTCAAGACCCATCAGGTGAGCTGTCCAAGTGACTGTTCTTTGTCATGAAGGGTTCAATTTGGGAGAGAGGAATACATTACCATAGCACAAACAGCCACTCTCTAGCTCCAGCTACCCCCACCACTGGTGGAGAAGGGCTTTATGAAACCAGAAAGAAATTCCTACTTGACAGTAAAGGTGGAACACTTGGGCCTCAACTTTTCCAGTTATTCAGCTTCTGATGAGATTCTCTACAGCCCCTCCAAGTTACCTCTGTTTTGGCTATTTCCAAAAACTCCAATCTATTCCCAAAAGATTTGTCACTTCTGGGGGAAAAAAAAGTCCCTATCTGTTGGATTAAATTCATTCCGTTATGCTTGTTGATATTTTCAACAAATCTCCTTCATCTTTCTTCTTACTTCTACTTGGTTGGGAATCTTATCTTCAAGAAATAGGTTCTTCTCTCCTCGACCGTTAAAAGGTAAATCCCGCGAATCTTTCTTCATGAGGATAGAGTCTCTTTTATCCCCCGGGCACATGTCTGAATCGAGGTCATTGTATGCAAATAACATTCCGAACATTTTTCTCTCATAGCATTATAAGGGGCGATGCAAGTTTCTCTTGCTCTTATTGGTTGGGAATGACATGGGGATCTAGAGAGCTCTTCAGACCTGGAATGGAAAGATCTCTATTCACATGACAGGTCTGAAGGTGTGAATCTCTCTCCCCTACATTTCTGCACCCTGATCCTTGGTCAGCATGACTCAATACTTGAAACCTAGGCATTGTATCTGAATTTTCTACTTGAACTTTGATCTCAGACAAGAACATATCTTAGAATGTTGACCACTTATGAAGAAATTGAGAAGACAGAATTCCCCAAACTGTGCGGTAAAGTTTGAAACTAAAATTTTAACACAGGAAAGCCGTGTTAATTCTCTTTGGTGTCCTGACATCTAAACACTTTTGACTCTATAATGGGATTATTCTTTACTGTGTCTTTGGGGTATTTTTCGTTCTTCTGTCCCAAGACTCCCTGGCTATTGGGAAATGGTACCTTCCTTATCAAACATGTCAACTTATAAAAGATCATAAAATAGTTGCTGATGAAAAGTCTACTATTTCACAATTGGAGAGTCCATTGAAATCTATTAGGCAGTCCCCTCAAACCTGTAATAATCAGAGTTTTCAGAATATCACTGAGGACAGGACATGGGTCATGCCTACAGCTAAGTTGGCTGTGTCTGCTGGAGGCAGCATTTCCACCTACAGGACCATGTGCATCTTAGAGGCTACTCTATTTTATTCAAACCATGTGAGCTACTGACTGTGCTTGTCCTCTCTCAAGGAATTAAAGAGATGTAACTGTGCATTGTTATTAATAGACAGATACTCCTCAATTTACAATGGGTGCATATCCTGATAAACCCAACAGAAATTGAAAATATCCTGAGATGTGAACTGAATCCATCTAACCTACTGCACATCCTAGCCTAGTAACACAGTGCACTATAGAGTCTCAGTGGTGTCCCCTTGTGACCTTGGGGTCAGTACTATGCTCACTACTGCTGCCCAGTGTTGCCAGGGAGCAAGAGAGTGCCTCCAAAATTCAAAATTCCAAGTACAACTTCTACTGAATGCATTTCACTTGCATACAAGACAAAAAGTTAAAAATTAAACCATCCTAAAGTCAAGGACTCCTGCCTGTACCCTAAGAACGGATAAAAATATAGGGAAGGGGAAGTGGGTGTGTGGAGGGATAAATGAGGATTTCAGAAACAATAGAACAAAACAGAAAAGCCAATATTTATTTAGGGTGGATAAATGCTACTCTCAGTATCCCCATCAAAAAAGTCCCTGAGTCAGTTCCTGTGCTAAGAACTCATGATCATTATAATAGTTGTTACTTTTACCATAAAAATTCCATTCACCTAATACCTACTGCCAACAGGATTCAAAGAGATGACAGAAAAAGTTACCCTCTCTGAGTTAAACTTAAAATTATTTCAGCATCGTCATCCTACCCGGTTTCCTTTCAAAGCCGTGTTTAGATCTGTCACTGATACTCTTATCTAAACACATTTGGAGTCCACTTTTCTCACAAAGAGGTTATGTAACTCAATTGAGTACAGAAATAAGTTTAACTTTTTGGATAAAATATCTCACTGATGTTTTGTCATGCTGATCATATATCCCCACCATTTGCCATCGTTTGTTTTCTTTGTATAAGTGATTGCTTTCAAATGAAGGCTAAACTACACTGCCCTTAGAAAATTTTATGTCGTTCCCACCTTATATCCTGTCAAATGGGGACAGACGACTCCCTCAAAGACAGTGCCTCTATCAGTTCCACTTACGGACATCTTTCTTTAAATAATCAGTATTTAACTGGTGGGTAAATGCCC